GCCGTGATCGGGTCCGTCCAGTACATGCCCTTGGACGTATCCTGCATGTCGTACATGACACCAAAGGCGCCGATCTTGATCGTCCCCATCGTCGGCGAGCTAAGCGTCTTGACCGCATACGGTTTGGTGCCACGGAGGAGCTGCTTGGTCGAGGCCTCGTACGCGTTGACGTTGAGCCAAGGAAACTTGGAGGCGGCCGAGACGTTGAGGAACGCGTCGATGCCAAAGTCAAACTCGTGGTTGCCAAGGCAGGCAAAGTCGACATCGAGTGCGTTGTGAGCCTCGATCATCTGGAGACCCTTGAACTGACCAGACCAGAGCGACGGCGACATGGTGTCGCCCGCAAAGATGACCAAACTGTTTTCAAAGTTCTGGCGGAGCTTCTTTGCGATGGGAATGACACGCGAGGGACCGCCGACGAGGACACCATACTGCGTCACGTCCTCTTCGGGCTTCATCTCGTACACGTCGTTGTACGAGAGGACTTGAAGGTGAGCTGTGGGCGCGCGCTCAGTGTTGTTGTTACCCGGCGCGCAGTCAGCGGCCGCGACGATCCCGAAGACGGCCGCGAACGAGGCAAGGTAGATGGCGACCATGGCTGCCAAAATGAAAAGTGATTTTGTCAAACAAAAAAAGACGCAAGCCGACGACGACCAATGTACGAGGAGTAGCCGGAACGAGCACGTGGTGCGGGCCAAGCCACCCGGCTCGCATCTGTCAGGTTGGTAACGTGTACGTTAGGTTGAAGGCACCCAAACCAGCCCGCGACGCGATCAGGTCTCGACGATCGTGGCCGACAAGTGCGACGTCCCAGGAGTGGCGTGGCCCAGCGGCCACCGAGGCTCGAGGTGCGTGGCGGGCGTCCTACCGACTGCATCGCGCAAAGACGGAGGCACTTCCGCGTGCGAATCTCACGAGGTGGAATCAGATGCGCGTGCGACGAGCGACGTTAATTGTAGTTTAAACCCATGCGTTGAACGAGGTTTTTATGCGATAGCTGCGCAGTGCCTCACGCTGTTCGTTATGCTTGCACGTGCTCCCAAGCTCAAGCACTGCAGAGGCAGTCTGCAGAGGCGTTAGCGCCCACCTTACTCTACGTACTCGAGTATTTAACATATCAGTGCGGATACGCACTGAGGTTCACACCGTGTCATCTCATGGACGGGACCAGAACTCAAGGAACACGCTGGTACACGAACGACGAATAGGGGCGCATGAGACGTCGTCTAACGCGCTCCACCGTGTTGTTTACCTCTTGGGACGATGAAGCAAGTGGTCCGGCATTGGCGTTTAGAGGGTCCTTTGTGCGCTCTATAATCGCGTTGGGGTCGAGGCAAATTGGGTTTGACGCGTTTTATATTTGCTACCCTGTTTGAACGTAAAAAGTACGCTTGAACTACGAGTGAACTTGAAGTTGTAACGTGGTATGCGGAAGTGGCTGCTTCTCAGCTCCTCGCCATACGTTTTGCCCAGAGGGGTTGCGAACCTGAGAACCATGCATTCGCACATCCCCCGCCAACGCGATTACACGACCAATTCGACGGAATCCAACGCAAACTTGGTGCGTTTTCATTGTATGTCCCATCGATTCTTCCCGACGTAAATGTACAAATATACCATCCAACAACAAATTTTGTCGGTCCGAGTTTTGCGTGCGGTGTCGCCCCGGCTATGGGCGTGGGTTTTAGGCACAAGTAGGTTGCGGTACCGCAAAGATACGCAGCTGAGCGACGAGAGCGAGCGTGCGCCTGCAATAAGGGATCGTGGTCGATGCTATGCAATCTCACACGGCGCCACTGCAGCGATGCTCCGACAATTCGCGAAACGGTAGTCAACTTTCCGGCTGCAAAATACATCAGCGGACAGGCCCAGTGACGGACGACTTGTCGTGAATCTTGGACGGCACCGAGATGCAAGACTCGAATCTGAAGTGCGTCCAAGTCCACAGTGCAGGAAGAAAGACTGAAGATCGCTCATGGTATCTGTACGTTCTCGATGAGGATGGGCAGCGGCCAACGACAGCGTCTCTACAGTACTACAATACATCGTTGCCAAACGATCGCGCGACTCAAAGTGCGGCAACACCTCAACTCGGTACAGTGGATTTTACGTCCTTTCTTGCGACGATGTGAGGTTTTTGTAGCAGCACCGT